CATGAAGTGGCTTCAAAATATTATTTTTTTATCGTTTGATCCTGTTGATACAAATAAATATTTATAGAAGCCTGATCAGATGGGGACTTTCTTCCCTCTTCGCCACCAAATTTACAGATATGACTAGTACATGTCTTCTCAGTCTTCCAACTTGGTTCCAACGAGGAGGGATCCTTGTTCCCATCTAAGGTTGATTGGTTCTCATCTGGACTCCATGCTCTCTGGCTTGCTCAGGGCCACCACACCTGCAGTAACCACACTTGTCTCCTTCTTCATGGAATTCTTCTTTTCTGTTAGGACATCCCCATCAGCATCGTCAAAAGCTCTCCATTCCTCCATCTCCTACAGCAGCTGCTCCATCGTTTATGCCCATGTCTTCAGACCAGAACTGAAAAATGTTGCTGTGATGTTCTTTCCACCGCGGCTCACTCCAATCTGCCTCCTGCCCCCACCACTCTTTTCAAGGTAACTGCTTCCCGGTTGATGCATTGGTCACTTCTCTAACATCATCCGATTCACCGACGGGCATGTGGTACTGTTGACCTTCTCTCAAAACCCTTCGTCTCTGGCTTTCCTTTTCTTCAATGGTCACTACTTCTCAAATCGATGTCCAGTGTTGACTGCTTCAAAGTTTGCTGGAGATTTCTCTTTTCTTCCCCCGATGGATGTTCTCAACTCTGCCTGTCCATGAGCATCATCTGGGTTTGGCTTCTAAATGCAGGGATGTGTGGACCCCAGACAAGGGAAATCGGAATCTCCAGGTGTGGGGCTCTGGCTTTGGCAGGTTTTTATTTTATTTTATTTATTTTAGAGAAAGAGCTTGTGGGAGAGAGGGACAGAGGGGCAGTGGGAGAATCTCAAGCAGGCTCCATGCTCAGCTCAGAGCCCCACACGAGGCTTGATCCCATGACCTGAGCAGAAATCAAGAGTCAGGCGCTCAACTGACTACGCCACCCGGGTGCCCCATGGCTTTGGCAGGTTTCAAAAGCTTCCCAGGTGACCCTTACGTGCACCCAGAGCTGAGACCCACTGTCCTAGGTGGTCTCACTCAGTTCCACAGTTTTATGAGTTATTATCGTAAGGCCAAATTACTACTAAATTTATATCTTCAGCCCCTGGGCAGAGCTCCCTTGGAAGAAGGAGGTCAGTTTAGTCTGAAGGGAACTCCCTGCCCCTTGATGGCCCTGCTCTCATCCTGGGACCGGGGGCAGGATGATCAACACTAACAGCAAGAGAACCATACTGGACTTCTTTGACGTCTCATACTCAGCATTCAGAAGAGCAGAACTTCTTGTTCAGAAGCATCTGCATGGATTTCCAAATCCCTTAACCTTTACTGGCTCCACAGTGACATCCAGTTTGGCTTGAACAACAGATGAATAAGGACAATTATGCTTTCATTCTAAATCCTAGTTGTCTGTGCAAGCCTCTCTCATGCTATTCCAAGTTTACAAAACTGCATATGAATATGGCCTCATGTTCACCTCCACCACCACCCCTGTCTCCATCTTCCATCAATAGCACCAGGTAAATTCTCCTTCGGTTACTCTGCAATTTTGTACCATTAGGATCTGCGTCAATCTGTTCTCTAGTAGTGCCTTCCAATCCTATACCAGACTCTCAGGGAGGCTTGCTAGTTTTCTCAAGGTTACTCCCTATTCATTCCCATACCCTTGTGTAATGGTTAATTTTATGTGTCAACTTGACTGGCCCACTGGGTACCAGATATTTGGTCAAACATTTTTCTGGGTATTTCTCTGGAGTGCTTTCAGATGAGATTAACATCTGAATCAGTAGGCTCAGTAAAACAATTGCTCTACCCAATGCAGGTGGGCCTGGAAAAATCAGTTAAAGGCCTCAGCAGAACAAAAAGTCTGACTGTCCCCCAAGTAAGAGAATTCCCCCTGTTTGACTACCTTCAAACTGAGGCATCAGCTCTTTTCTGCCTTCAGACTGGAACGGAAACATTGCCTTTCCTGGGTCTTGAACTCTTTTAAGGCTTCCTAAAGCTGGCCGTATCCACGGCTGAATGGAGTTCTTTTAAAATGGGTCCATCACAACACCTACCATTTATCAAGTGCCTACTCCATGCCTGCCATTTTAAACTGTATCACTGCCAGTCTTTGTACGAATCACTGCAAGAGAGGTAAATGTTTTTGTTAGCTCACAGTCACAGAGTTGATCAGCAGCAGAGCAGGAATGTAAACTGAAATGTGTGATTTCCGAGTCAGTGCTCTGTTTTATACTGGACCTGCCTATCATCGCTTTACCGTTCGCGTGCCTGAATGCAAAGTGCTTTAACGTCTTTCTCAAAAGGTGGATGCTACACAAGCTTACGCTTATACATGTATATCTAAATGCACATATATTATTTTGGTGGGCAGAAATGGTACCATTCTAGACCTATTTTTTTCTTTGTTACACTTTGCTTCTTACTTTCAATGATAAATCTTGAAAGTGAGATCCCTATCAGCATAGTTAGAGAGCGCTTGTTTTTAAGTTTTAATGTTTATTTTATTTTTGAGAGAGAGAGAGAGAGCATGAGTGGGCAGAGAGAGAGGGAGACACAGAATCCGAAGCAGGCTCCAGGCTCTGACCTGTCAGCACAGAGCCTGACGACATGGGGCTCAAACTCATGAACCGTGATATCATGACCTGAGCCGAAGTGGGAAGCTAACCAGACTGAGCCATCCAGGCGGCCCTGCTTTTTAATATATTTTCCATTGTATGGATACTTCGATACATCAAAATATTTTTAGCTCACATTCTACTATGGATATATTTCAGTTGCCCCAATTATTTTGCTACTATAAACGATGCTATCATAAACTTCCTATCATAAACTTGTATATGTTTTATTTCACAAGTTCATGAATGGATTTCGTGGCTACATTCCAAGAGGTAGAACTTTGGAGTCAAGGACGGACTTTAATTTTGAGGTCAATGTCAAATCGCTGTCAAGAGAGGTACAGGAGAGCATCTCTTTTCCCACAACTTTGCAGGACATGCATTATCTAGCATTTGGTCTTTGCTCATCTGGTAGTTTTAAAAAAAGGGATATTAGAGTTTTGTTTTAATTTCTCCAATTGTCAGTAAGCCTGAACATGTGTTCAGAGGTTTGAGAGCCATTTATATTTCCTTTTCTAAAATGTCTTTTCATAATACTTGCCTTTTTTTTTTTTTTTTGTACTTAAGCTCTTCATCTCTATTCTATTGATTTTTGGGAGGTTTGTTTTATATTAAGAATATTGTCATTTTGTGGTTGATGGAGCCTTTTTCCCCCCTCTCAATTTTTCTTCATCTTAACTTCATAGTTTTTTTCAAGGCAGAATTTAAAAAAACATAATTCTTAGTGCCCAAGTATTCCTTTTGGGGGAATGTTTTCCCTTACATCAAGAACACTGTAGTAATTCTTAATTCTTAATAATTTCATTTTAGGGGCGCCTGGGCGGCTCAGTCAGTTAAGCTTCCGACTTCGGCTCAGGTAATGATGTCATGGTTCTGGTTTGTGAGTTCGAGCCCCGCATCAAGCTCTGTGCTAACAGCTCAGATTCTGTGTCTCCCTCTGTCTCTCCCCCTCCCCCACTTGCTCATGCACTCACTCTCTTTCTCTCTCTCTCAAGTATAACAAATAAACATTTAAAAAAGTTTAAACTTTTATTTTAATATTTTCACTTGATTAATGGGCATTTTGGGGAAGTAGGGATTTTTTCTGACTTCCTTATTCTTTTTGTTGTTTGATTTAGTTTTATTTTATTTTATGACTTATAAGATGACAGGGGGGCTATGTAAGCTATTTTCATCTTTGTCTGGTTCATTTATGTACATGTTAAAGATTTTCCTCAGACTTCCACATTAGCTCTATCTCATAGATTCTGGTATGTAGGATTTTCTTATCTTTAATTTTGTAGCTACTTGCAATTAATAAGGTTTATTTAAATTCTTTAATATTTTTGGAGGGCTGGGTATTTTTTTCCCTACTGGCTTTGTAATTACTTTTTTCTTTGAATGTTTATTTATTTTTGAGAGAGAGAAAGAGGGAGACAGAGCATGAGCAGAGGAGGGTCAGAGAGAGAGGGAGACACAGTATCTGAAACAGGCTCCAGGCTCTGAGCTGTCAGCACAGAGCCTGACACGGGGCTCGAACTCCCAAACCACGAAGTTGGACACTCAACTGACTGAGCCACCCAGCCGCCCCAAACCTGTGGCACTTTTGTGGTCATCCATGGACATGCTTAGAGTGACAAGCATGAATTCACTCAACATACACAGTCCTGGCTGAGGTCGAACAAGGTGACACTTTGCTTTCATACTGTAACCAAGGTATCCCTTTTAGTGCCTTATTTGTGCCACATTACTTGCATTTCAGAGCTGGCTGTTGATGACTTTGCTGTTTAAAATGGCCCCAAACATCGCCTAGGTGGCTTAGTCAGTTAAGCGTCCGACTTTCGCTTAGGTCATGATCTCGCGGTTCGTGAGTTCGAGCCCCGCGTCGGGCTCTGTGCTGACTGCCAGCTCAGACCCTGGAGCCTATTTCGGAGTCTGTGTCTCCCTCTCTCTCTGACCCTCCCCTGCTCATGCTGTCTCTCTCTCTCTCTCTCTCTCTCTCCTAGAAATAAATAAAAATATTTTAAAAAAATAATAATAAAAATAAAATGGCCCCAAACATGGTGCTGAAGTGGTGTCCAGTGTTCCCAAGTTCAAGAAGTCTGTGCTATGCCTTATGGAGAAACCCCGTGAGTTAGATAGGCTTGGCTCCGGCATGAGTTACAGTGCTGTCGGCCATGAGTTCAATGTTAATGAATCCACGGTATATAACAAATAAGGAGGGTTTTTTTCCCCCCCAAATAAGGAGTTTTTAAACAGAAACACAAAAACAAGGTTAAGTAGGGGTTGACTGATGAAAATGGAGTGACCGGAGGTTTGCAGAGCCCTAACCCTGCATTTCCGTTGGGGCCAATGGTTCTGTGAGCACTAATTTGGTGTTCTCAGGACTCTTCAGAATGTAACTACTGCAAAGAACAAGAGCCAACTGTATTGTCCTTTTAGGGTACTGATGTCTCCTGGGCACATCAAAGGCAGAGGGTTTTTTTTTTACTCTCTGTGTTTTTTGGTTGTTTGTTTTTGTTTTGGGTGACTTATTAAACTGATAAGAACAGATACTACACTTGATCTTAGCCAAAAGGCCGGGAAGCGATGCTTTGTGTGATTTATGAGAAAAGCTAGGGTAATTGCCATATTTGCCATTTTAGGCCTGGCTAGGGCTTATTTGAAGGTTTTATCTTGTCAGGCAGATTACTCTGAGAAGGTGGAGGCTGCCAGGTAGGAGGCTGAGGTTGGGTGAAGAGAGAGCTGAAGAAAATGGGGAGAGAATGAGGAGGCTGAGAAAAAAATCGGTCACAAAGCCCCGCGGGTAAGTCCCAGAGCATGAGTGTTTGCAGTCAGGTAGTGTAAAGTCTGATCTTGATGCGGCCTTTCGTTACCTCTGTGACACTGGGTAGGTTACTGCTCTGGGAGTCTGTTCCCTCTTTTGCTAATATCGATCATATGGCCTAATTGTGAGATTATGTATTTAAAGACTATCTATGTAAAGCGTCTGTTACACAGTACGAACTCAGGGGGAAGCGTATTTGGGAAAGCTCAGACAGCTGCATTTCCGATTGCTCCCAGAATCGGTTTATGATCCATGCCCCCAAAAAATCAATCTCAAAGTCACACTTGTTTATTACCCAAAGTGCTATTACCCTGCTTGATCACCCTCCTTGTGGCCAGGAGCGGGAATGAATCGCTCTCAGCTATTTTCTGAAATCAAATCTACTCCGGGCAAATGAAGATTTGCCACCAATAACAATATTATAGAGGACGTGCTGCGGCTTCGAGGGCACGAAGCGATTCGGAGACACTGATTATGTAAGGCCTTGCAGGGCTCCTGCTTAGAAGGCGACAGCACATCTCAGGATGCCAAGGCTCTGACATGTTTATTCTTTAAAAATCCGCCTGATGACCTTAGCGTTACACCTGGTTGGTCTCAGCCCAGCCAGTTAGGCTCAGGAGACCACCCATGATGGTGTGAAAATTGGGGGCACAGTCAGGGGGTACTCCTCACTGGGCCCCCGCTCTTGTCTGCTCACCAGCCAAATCCCAGAAGTGTCTGCATCGGGGACCTGACAAGGTGGTGGAGGCATGCCGGGGCTTTCTCTAGAGGGACTTGATTGTCCCAGGCAGGAAATGTTTTGGTCACTCTGTCCTCTGATCAGGAATTAGAGTCACTGAATGGAGAGAAATAAAACAGACAAAAGACGAGAGTTCAGGGGTCTAATAAGAAATCTAAGTAAAGGCTGGGACCCTGCCTCTCCCAGTAGGAGAGTTTGATATGGTCAGGGGTGTGGAGGGGCAAGGAAAGAGCCCAATGAACCCTCTGGACCCATCGCTGGCCACACAGTTATGCTTTCTTGTGTTATCTCTTATGCTGAACCTCGGTCCGGTTAGCCTCCTTCCTCGCCTCCCAAAAATGATGATAATGCTGCCTCTTCACCTTCCACAAATGCTCCAGAATTACAGGGGGTGCTTTCCACAGTTCATCAGTCAGTGGGACTATAAATGTGTAGAGTGATTCTGTTCTTTCATTCATTCAAAAGAGGAGTTAACTGAAGATCAGAAATACTGAAGAATTTCTCCAAGGTCACCCAGCTGGTGGTGGCAAAACTGGAGGTCAAATCTGAATCTGCAAGGCTGCAGTGAGGTCCTGCAAACACAGGCATTGGCTGCAAATGCCTTAGGAGTCCTTTTCCCAATGGGCTAAAACAGTGGTCCTCTGCTCTGGCTATATATGGAATCCTGTACCTCAGCGATGATGTCTTGCTGGACAGAGATCCCTTCAGCCTCCTTTTGAAGTCTTCATTGTATTCAGACGAGTAAACTCCTTTCTTGTACAGAGTATGAATATAGATGCTCTCTGGAAGTTTGGGACAAAATATGAGGAATTCGCTTTTTAAGTAGGGGAGGCTATATTGCCCACTCAAAACTCTTGAATCATCATTTGGATTGCAAAAGACACCAAGCCAGTTTAGTTAGGAAAGAAAAAGGCATTATTAGAATGATTTTGGAGTATTTCATGAAATCAAAAGATGGAAGTATCTGAAATTTAGGAAAGTACTGAAGCTCTGGAAAAGCCAGAATAATATATATGTCTTATCTATCTATCTATCATCTATCTGTCTATCTATCTATCTATCTATCTATCTATCTATCTATCTATCTACCTATCTACCTACCTACCTACCTACCTACCTACCTACCTACCTATGTACTCACCTACCTACCTATCTTTGATTTGTTCAACATTGTGGTGTTATTCTTCTCTCTTCTTATATAAAAGTGGTTCCTAAAGTGTGGTACACAGACCAACAGAATCAACATTACCTGGAAACTTGTTACAAATCCATATTCAGACCCTGCCCCAGAATCAGAAACAAGGTTAGGGGTCAGCAATATGTATTTTTATAAACCTTATAGTAATTCTGGTGTTCAATAAAGATTGAAGAAGTGCTGCCATGGACCATATCTCTCAGTTTTCTACACGACAGAAAATAGCTGATGACATCATCCATCTTTTACGTGTTATGAGTTCAGCCGGGTTGAAAAGTCTGAGTTGACCGTCATTTGTTCTCAAATTAAAACTTATTTAGAAGGGGCCCCTGGTTTGAATTTTGATTATCAACCCACAATTCCTGGAATGTGAACAAGAGTGGAATGGAGGAGTGGATCGAGAAGACAAGTACCATGGTTACTCCAACTGCAACCAGATAAATGCTAGAGAAAAGGGCAACATCCAGGAAAAAGATCCCGGGTGAGTGGTCTAATAAGAATAGAAATTGTAGCAGTGGTCATAAGAAGTATTAACAGTCATGGAAATACCTACTAATAATCGATGAATATTGACTATTTGTCAGGCCTAGAGCTTAGCATATTTTCTGTAGATTTTATCTACTTCTCACAACATCCCTGCAAAGTAGGTACTATTGATATTCATATTTTACAGATGAAAAACTGTTTAGAAAACTTGGCTTGAACAGATATACCTGGCAAGCAGGAGAAGAATGTGGGCTATCTGTACGTTAGCCACCACCACGGTATGCTAACTCTAGATTTTGTCCACTCTTAAGGACAACAGGCCTTAGTGAGGGAGGTAGTTTGACACTGGGCAAGGTGATGCTTGAAATCCCATCCATCTCCACAATCCCAGATTGTCTTTGGCCATTTGGCGTTTAACAATATGACCGGCACATTCCACACGACAAAGCAAAACAAGAAAGGAGCTGGAGATGCAGTATTCTCACATGCATGTTTGTTTTTGAGACTCTATAGAGTATTCGCAATTGACTCTGGCTGGGGTCAAGTCCAGCTAGACATCGAGGATTAAAGGCATTTTCAGTACCCCTACCACAGGAGACCATACATGCAGAGCAAGTCCCAGAGACATAACCAGTGAGGCTCTAAATGAGAGACTTGATTTGCAATCAGTACTTTCTTCTTAAAGTCGGCTATCTACATCCCTTTGTGGCTTTATGTATGTGTCACAACCATGTGAGATCAGGCGTCCTGAATGGAACGGTTTATTAATACTATCATGTGAAAGGAAAGCCATTTCAGGAAAAACTATGGGCTTAAGAGCTTTGTACTTCCTCACTCACCTGGCATATTTGAACAACCTTACTATTATTTTTTTTTTTCAATCAAGTCTTTTTGTTTGCCCTCCTGTGTCTGCTCCTTCCTGGCCTCAGCCCCTTTCCTGATGCTCTAGAAACTTCCAATGTATTTTCTAGAATTCCTCCCTCCCCCAGCCTAGCTCATCAGGACACTCTGACTCTTCCAGTGTGGCCCCTTCTGCCAGATGTCCTTGCCCGACGCCAGGCCCCCTACACCCTGCCCTTTGAGCTCCCTTTCTCCTCTGTTTTCCCACCAGTTTCTCCTGTTCAAAATAAATCTGGGTTGAAAGTGTATCTGCCTTTCTTGCCTTCCCCCACTCTTCTTTCCTTTTCTTTCTCACCTTGCAGGCAGCGATAGCTATATATATAGAATCTGATTTTTCTCTTCTTGGAGCAACAGGAAGAACACTCAAGAGCCTTTTATTCTAAGAACAGAAGAAGGCCGCTATCTTGTCTGGAATGGCCAAGAACAACTGCTCCAATGAGGAGCTTTTCATCACAGTCCCCATAGGGTACCTTGTGATGCTTTAATGGTCAAGACCGAACTTAATTCAAATCCAGCAGGCATTATTAGAAGTCATGTTGGCTAGCATGTCTTTATTGCCCTCATTTTAAATTATGAAGTGTAATAAGGTCACATTTCTGGAAATAAAGCTCAGTAAGATACATTGGTTTAATTTGTAAAAGTAATCTCCCTTCATAGACGATATGTTTCATTTTACTTCAGCTAAAATCCACATCAATAGCAGAAAAATGTAACAGGCTTCAATTAGCCTCAATAATCCTTCCACATGATGACGAACAGGAAAAAAAGAAACTGGTATTTCATATCTTCATCATTTAAGGACTTTGATGATACAAAAGAGATTGGCTCTATTTATTTCCCTGTTGCAGTACATGTCTTCTTGAAAGGTTGTAATACAATAAAATGAATTTTAATAAAATGGAGGTGGAAAAGATTCCTTGGAACTGAGTCAAGAAACTTTCAACTGGGTAGAAGAGGAGATGCAGGAGATCTTTTTGCAAACTGGAGGCTGGAGTTGATCTGTGCTTGGATGAGTTTGGCTTGAAAACATGAGCAAGGCTCCAAGTATCTGGAAGAATCCTTAGCCTAGGGGAGCTGTTGATGGAATATTTCAGTGTTGAAAATCTCACTCGTAAACTGCTCAGGGTCAAACAACTTTCGGTGGAGTATGAAAATAGCTCAGTTTTTTGGTAAGTCCTACCTAAAAAAGAAGTGTGTAATTTATAGCTCAATGGTCTAGGCAATTCAAGAAGGGGAGGGTCCAAGCAGAAGACACAGGTTCCAGGAATAATATACATCACAGGTGTATGATCTCAGTCCTCTTTTATCCATCTGTGAAACAGAAAAACACAACTAGGTCACACTGGTAGGTTTTTCTCATTTCAGTGTTCACTCATCAGTACCCATAATGACTGAATCCTGTACTATAAACTGTGTAAAGATTCATAGCTTTATTATAGTTGAG